TAAACTATATTTTTTTATTTTTTTAAAAAAATTATATATTATTATATTAAAGTATTATATTATATTATAAATATAATTTAAATTTTAATAAAATTTTAATAAAGTGCGTAACTTACTTAAGCGCATAGCTTGCCTATATAATATATTAATTAAATAGCTATAAATACTTTAATTAATAATATATTAATTTTTTAAATAATTAAATATTATTATTAAGAAACCTTTTTTATATATTTATATATAATTTAAACTCTAGTATTTATATATATATAAAGTTTAAATAATGTATTATACAGGCGAGTTAGTTGCCCGGTTAAGTTAGTTATAATGCTAAGACCCTACTAAAATTAGTAGTTTTCTACTATTAAACGTAATGCTTTAATATAATAATATGCAATTTTTTTAAAAAAAAAACTAAATATAGCTTGCAGTTTAGGCTTTAAAACGCAATGTAAATTTTTTTTAATAAAAAGCTACGCAGATTTACAGTATTTCTTAAACAATATTTAGTAATTAACTAAAAGGAAAGCCTCTATAATATAATACTAGGCCTAATAAAATAAAGCTCTTTTTAACAGAAAAAAAAATAATTGCTTAGTATATATTTTACTTTAAAAACTAAAAATTTCTGCCCTAACTAGCTGCTGTAAATAATATAGCTAATACTTTACTAGCTAAATATAGGCAACTACTTATTAGCAAGAACTAGGCTAGCACATTTATTAAATAATATTTACAGCTTAGTACTAAAACTTTTTAAAAGTATAACTACTAAAAAATTTTATATAAAAATCCTAAGCTTATACAAGGCTAGTTCTAACTTATAAAAAATATAAAAGCTAAGCATAGTATTTAAAATAAAAATATATATAACTTTAATAAAATAGGCTTTATAATAGGCTAAATATTATATAAAACTATTGTTTTAAGTACTAATTATTAAGGACAGTTAAAAATAGTATAGCAGGGTAATTAAGAGTAGGTAATAGTAATCTAAGGCATTAATGTAATAAAGTAGGCTATTTTACTTTTTATTATTTTTATAAGCAAGAACTATTTTTTAGCCTAGTATAAAAAGAATAGCCTATTTTATAATTAAATTATTACAGTTTCTAAAAATAGCTAAATAATAAATAAGCTTACTTTTAAGTAATTAAAGTACTTTAATAAGCATACTAAAAAGAGAGTTATTAGTACTTATTATCTGCTTATTATTAACAATTATAAAAGCTATATATTAGTTTAATTCTAGCAGTACTATAAAAAATAAAAAATTATTACTTTTTATATGCCTTTGCATTTGTCGCACTTACTATAGCTACTTAATATAAATTGTTTTGCACTTTTAAAAAAAGCGTATAAGTACTAAGCTAAAAAGCTAATACGCAATAGTATTAACTATATTATTAAAATTAAGTTTTTATTATACTTTAAACTAGCTTTTAATACTGCTATTATAAAAAGCAATATTTTAAGTAGCTTTAAAGGCGCTAGTCTAATTTTTTTTAATTTTAAAGCTATAATATTAAAGCTTAATATTTAGTTGTGTATTTTACTACTATTTACTATTAAAAACAGTTTTTAGGAGTTAAAAATACTAAGCAATACTCTAAAATTTAAGTTTTAATTAATACTAGTTAAAATAAAAATTTAAAGGCACTTAAATAGTTCTTTTACTTTAATAGTTAAAATTTTTAAAAAAATTTTAAAAAGTGCAGCTATAGTCGCGCATAAGCTTGTATTAGCGTAGAAAAAAATTACTAAATTTTAAGCAGCTAATAAAGCTATTATATAATAAAAATTGTATAAAAAGAAGCAAGTACAAAAAAAAAGGACTTTTATAGTAAAAAATAGTTTTTAACTAACAATTCTAAAAGAATTTAAAGCGCGTAGTAATAAAAAAAAAGCAAAAAAGTAAGTATATACTAAAGTAAGTAAGCTTTCTTAAAGGCGCTATAAATATTATAGTAAAGCTAGGCATAATGCGCAAATATGCAAGTAAAAAGTAGAAGTAATTTTTAAATAAATTAGTTTATTATAATTTACTGCTATAGTTTTTTACAGTGCTATACTATTATACATAGTACTAATTTTAGTAAAGTTTTAGCATTATAACTAACTCAACTGGGCGACTAACTCGCCCGTGTAATACGTTACTCTAATTTATATATATATATATATATAGAGTTTAAATCCTATTATTTCTATATACATTTATTTATTTTTTTTAGTTTTAAATTTGGTCACCCACCTAACTAAAAATCCTAGGTTATACTACTTAGTTTTTTTAACCGTTTATAACGCGTTGTTTTACTTTTTCTATAGCTATAGATTTTATAAACTATATTTTAGTT